ACGACGACAGTGTAGTAGTGCAAGCAGTAGGGGAAGGGCACGCAGTAACAGTGGTGCTGTGCTCACCAGGCAGGGCAGGTCGGGCGGCTCGGCAGTAGGGCGGCCCGGCGGCTGGGCGGCTGGGCGGCTCGGCTGCTGGGCGGCTCGGCTCCCGGGCGGCTCGGCGGCAGGGCGGCTCGGCGGCAGGGCGGCTCGGCGGCTCGGCTCCCGGGCGGCTCGGCGGCAGGGCGGCTCGGCGGCAGGGCGGCTCGGCGGCTCGGCTGCTGGGCGGCAGGGCGGCTCGGCGGCAGGGCGGCTCGGCGGTCGTAGGCGGCGGGGCCGGTGAGGATAGGCGGCGGGGCCGGTACCGTAGGCGGCGGGGCCGCGAAGTGGGGCGGCGGGGCCGCGTAGGTGAGGGCGGCGGGGCCGCGAAGTGAGGGCGGCGGGGCCGCGACGTGAGGGCGGCGGGGCCGCGAAGGTGAGGGCGGCGGGGCCGCGTAGGCAAGGGCGGCGAGGCCGCGACGTGAGGGCGGCGGGGCCGCGACGTGAGGGCGGCGGGGCCGCGTAGGTGAGGGCGGCGGGGCCGCGTAGGCAAGGGCGGTGGGGCCGCGACGTGAGGGCGGCGGGGCCGCGACGTGAGGGCGGCGGGGCCGCGACTTAAGGGCGGCGGGGCCGCGTAGGTGAGGGCGGCGGGGCCGCGACGTGAGGGCGGCGGGGTCGCGACGTGAGGGCGGCGGGGCCGCGTAGGCAAGGGCGACGGGGCCGCGACGTGAGGGCGGCGGGGCCGCGACGTGAGGGCGGTGGGGCCGCGACTTAAGGGCGGCGGGGCCGCGTAGGTGAGGGCGGCGGGGCCGCGACGTGAGGGCGGCTGGGCCGCGACGTAAGGGCGGCGGGCTCGCGTAGGTAAGGGCGGCGCAACGGGCCGCTAGGGGCGACACGGAGGGTCGCTAAAAAAAAAGGAAAGCGCGCCTCGGGGCGCGCTTCGGTGGGCCCTAGAAACAGTCCCTAGGAGGGGACCTGCTCTGATACCATGTGGAGAGGAGAACGCGAATGAATGAACTATGAATGAAGTGAGTACATATAGGAAACCCTAATTGGGTTGTACCCCCTATGGGATACCCCACTATAGCCTACACAACAGCATAAGCTATATAATGTTCTGACAAGTCCTTCCTTGGTGGCTGAGCAGAGTGCAATATATTCTGCTTCAGCTGACGAGAGAGCAATTAATTCCTGCTTGCTCGATTGCCAGGAGATCGGTCCGATAGGTTCGAGGCGGTAGATGTAGCCGGTGCGGGAGCGCCTGTTGTCGGAGTCGCCAGCGTGATCAGCGTCGACGTAGCCGATTAATTTAGTCGGTGTAGTTGTGTTCTTGTCGTAAGTTAGGCCGATCGTTGAGGTACTGACGAAGTAGTGGAGAGCGCGGTCGAGCTCCGCCAGGTGTTCTGCTTCAGGCTTCTTGAGGTAGGTGGCGAGCTGGCTTGCGGAGTATGAGAGGTCGGGGCGGCAGGTGACAGCTGCGAAGAGAAGGCATCCTAGCTTTCTCTGGTAGTCGCGTATCCCGGCGGATTTGAGTAGAGAGGATCCTTCCTTGTGGTTTCCTGACGCGTAGCGGTAGGGCGTAGAGATGGTGGTAGGTGTGAGCGCGAAGCGTTTGGCGATGGTGTCGGCGTACTTAGCGGCGTTGAGGTAGATCGCGCCTTCTTCTTCCCGAATGTTCAAGCCGAGGTACTGTGTGACGGTAGAGGAGACCGTGAGTGTGAGGTCCCTCTGTAGCTCCCCTTCGAACCAGGTGGTGATGTCGTCAGTGGAGCCGATGTAGAGTAGGTCGTCTACGTAGACGATCAGCAGAATGTAGTCGGTGTCTTTAGTGAGTCGGTACATTCCTTGGTCGTGAGGTAGTTGGCGGAATCCGATGCGAATGAGGCGAGCGTGTAGGTACTGTTGCCATAGCCGCGGAGCTTGCTTGATCCCGTAAAGTGATTTCAGCAGTTGACAGACTTGGTTAGGTTCCCCGTTGGTACCGTGTGGGAGCTCGACGAAGATTTCCACGTCGACAAGTGCGTAGAGGAACGCGTTGGCGACATCGATTTGCCGTAGCTTCCTTTTCTTTATGGCGGCGATCGCGAGGAGGATTCGAAGTGAGGTATGTCGGCTAACCGGGGCGAATGTCTCGGTGAAGTTCCGTCCGTGCTCCTGATCGAATCCACGCACAACCCAACGTGCTTTGAACTTCTCAATTGTGCCGTCTGCTTTTGTTTTAACGCGGAAGACCCATTTCCCGGTGAGAATGGTCTTGTTCCTTGCCACGCTGATGGGGACAACTTTCCAGGTGTTCCGTTCCTCCAGCGCCTTTAACTCTCTGTCCATGGCTTCACGCCATTTTTCCCTGTGTTCCCCCCCCAGAGCCTGCTGAACCGTCGCAGGCTCCTTAGGAAGAGTGTTGCCGTGGACTGCGGTGACGAGTCCGAGAATCTGCAGTCCAGTCTGTGAGTAGCGGGGAAGAGTTGCATCCTCGGGATAAGCTGCTTCATCTCCCGCTTCTGGATCAGGTATGAAATTCGGTCCTACTCGTTCTGCTTCGTTGGTGTTGACTGTCGCAGGTGTTACGTAACCGTTGTCGGCGAAGTAGTAGAAGGTTTCGGCGTTGACACTTTCGCGAGGGTTATCTTCGTCCATGGGGACGTCGACGGAGCAGAACGGAAGGGGTCCAGCTTCTTCTGATGCGTTGGCCACATTCTGCTCGTCCCAGTCAGCTTCGTCTGCTGCCGAGGCGAAGGCTCGGTCACCACGAAAACCACCTGTGGGATCTTGGTCCTCTTGCAGGTTGGCAAGGTATGTCTGGAGCGTGAGTCGTTCGTAGAAAATGACGTCGCGTGCTGCTACTGTTTCCTTGGAGTGGACGTCAAAGATTTTCCACGCGTTGTAGTTCTTTTCGATGCCGAGGTGTAGTCCCCACTGTGCGCGTTGTGAAAATCGGCCCGCTCGTGCTGCTGGGGGTCGGTACTGTACCATGCATCCGAACACTCGTAACATTTTTGTGCTGCCCTGTTTTCCTGTCCACAGCAGATGCGGTGATGCGTTGTTCGGTAGTGATGAAGATGAGAGCAAGTTGTGCAGCATGACAGCGTGGTCCATCGCGTCAGGCCACTGGTGGTTGGGTAGCCGCATGCCACGCAACAGTTTGCGCATGCTGTTCTGCAGAGTCCTGTTCATTCTTTCTGCTACACCTTGCTGCTGATGGGCGTAGGGAAGAGAGAGGAGCTGCTTGATTCCCCTTTCCGCCAGGTCAGGGCCACCTCGCGCAGCTTCTCAGAAACTTCTGTAGCCGGCCAAACCATCCTGGCGACTAGTAGAGCTTCTAGAAACCCTAGGAGACAGCCAACGGCCACATCCAGAACGAAATGCCGTCCGAGGAACACTCTGGAACCTGCAGTAGCAGCTCCCCACACGGCAACCGCTGCGATAAGTAACCAAACCCTAAATTCCGGGCTTAGATCGGCTGATAAGGAGTTTCTGAGGCTTTCCAGGAGCAGCCGACGCAGATTCGGCGGGATCAGGCGGCTGGGGTTGGCGGGAAGCATGTGGCCGAATTCGGTGGAGATGGGTGGGAGGAGGTGGAAGAAGAGCGCTGCGATCATGATGGCACGCGACGCGTGGCCGCTGGGGAAAGACCACTGATCGGGCGCCACGACGACCAGCATCCCGCGATTGTAGTGTGGCCGCGGCCGGCGAAACGCGACCTTGAGAATACCGACGACCGCCAGATCGAGTATGCACGCGAGGAACGTTCCTAGAAATATCTGACGGATCGTCGCGGTGGTGAAGACGGGAGAAAGCCAGAGCGCGAAGCAGAGAGGGAGGAGGAGGCGGCCATCGCCGGATCGCTCGAGGAGGATCAGGAAAGAACGGAAGATCGGCAAATGCTCGGTGGCTTTATACAGGCGGGTCGACACAGCAGTGTCTCGAAGTACTAGCCACGTCAGAAGATCAGGAACTGACCGATCTGCAGCCATAAGGGGGGATTCTGATACCAGTACTAATTAGTTGCATAGATACCTATGTCCTGACCTGACTAGGTGAGGAATGGTTCTCGTCACCAAGAATCTGGGTCCGCGCTAAGGCCAGATTTGCAGGAATTAAATCCTACTTTATCACTTGCTGGATAAAAATTGAATAATAAAGGTTCTGTATATCAGCTGTAGCCTGTAACACTGCATGGGGTGGTCATGGGCTGGAGTCGAATACGACCTGCGCTTCGCTTCATGACTTCGCGAACGATCTACAGGTGACATCAACAGAATGCCGCGTCAGCAGCATCGCTCTGAGCTGTCCTCGTTCCCAGGAGAAACCCGAGCAGCGGAGTTTTCTGTTCATACAGAAGTAATCTTGGATTCATAATCGAAGGGGGAGGAATTTGAAAGGAGACCTGACCTGGCCTCGGTATGCATGCTTGAAGTGGACTGCTTTGTCGCTATGGCCCACCCAACAACGTGTTTCCTGTGAAATTCCGTGGCATCAGAAAGTAGTCCGTGTTTGCCTTTGCTAGTTCCCTTGCACCCGGAATTTCGGTGCTGAAAGTTTCATGTAAGTATGTTTCTCACTAAAATACTAGACCTTTGGTACCATCCGCTTCTAGTGATGCAAATTGGAGTGAACATTGTTCAATTTCTAGTTCACGCTGATAAATTTGTAGACGCAGAAATACCTATCACAGGTTGAAATAGACTACGCTCTGTGATTATGTGAGGCTCCGCATCAGGTCCAAGACTAGCCACTGTAGCTGTAGTATTCGTTTGACCATTTTGTCGTCTTCCTCGTCCTCCTCTCTGTTCTGTACACAATCTGTTCGAGCAACCCCTTTCGCCCCACATTTCCTGCCGTCACACCACACCACCCCTTCCAAGTCGGAAGTTCAGCAATGGCAGAAAAGCACATTTTCCCATTTTTTCAAACAGACGTGCTGAGTTTCAGAATTCGTTTGGTAAAAGAATCTGAGGCAACAGCTTCACTCAAGCACAATGGCGATGACTAGGACGAAAGCTGCACTCATCGTGCTCCTCTGCATTGTAGGCCAAGTCGTGGCACCGCCACCACTGGGCGCAAACCAGGACAACCGCTCCTGTCCCATTTTCCAGTGCCAGTCTAAGTCGAAGCAGGCCGGCCGCTTCGATGCTGTGAACCCTAAATTCTCAGAGGCCTTCACGTACAGCGCGACCAAGGACCCGAACGAGGAGTGCTGGAAGGTGTGCCAGTACCACAACCAGGGCAACCGCCCCGATCCCGTCGTGTACTGGCAGTACGAACCCTTCACCGACCCCACCACCGGCGGTAAGCATGCCTGCTTCGTGCTTCGCACCGAATCTTGGGTACATTCCTAGCTCCCCAATCTCCGCTTCGTATCTCCTGCTTGCTGGCATTGGCGTACTCAATCTGCGTTCGACTCCGTCCTTGAATGTACTCACTTCGGTTTCATCCGTGCAGGTCTGTGCACGTGCTACGGCGAGGAGGTGTGCAAGGACAAGCACTTCGTCGACCCCTCGAAAGATAACGGCGTGCGCCCCGCGTTCATCTACGTTGGCAAGATCTGCCCCGCCAATGGCACCGGCGACCCGCACTTTGTCGGCGCCGACCTGTCGCGCTTCGACTTCAGCGGCCGGCCCGGCGAGGATTACGCGCTCATCTCCGACGCCCACGTGGCGGTTCAGGCTCACTTCGACGGCCGCTGGGGCGAATGGGAAGGCCGCAACAAGGCGCTGACGTGGATGCGCCAAATCAGCGTTCTGTGGGGACACCACACTATTGTGTTCGAGGCGCGTGAGGGCTGGGCTGCCGATTACGGCACCGGGTATCTCCAGCGCCTCATGGTTGACAGTGAGGTGGTAAAGCTGGGCGTTCCCGGGTCGCACCTCGAGGCCGCGTCGTTCTTTGACGGGCAGGTTGAGATTAAGTGGGTGGCTGCGAAGAAGCCGGTCAAGGACGACCTTGTTGATGAGTACGAGGTTCGCATCAGCGACATTCTCGCCCTGCGACTGACTCTGCGACCGGAGATCGAAATGCTTCGCACCGATGAGGACGGGCTGGTTCACTTCACGGTGGACGTGATGAGCGCGAAGCTGTCCCCCAACGTGCACGGCGTGCTCGGCCAGACCTACCGCCCCGACTTCGCCAGCCGACTGTAAGTAGCCGCGTTTTTCCCCTGCTTTCTTTCAAACACGAGCGAGTGCCTGTCGCAGCAGCAGCTTTTTGCTGTTGTGATTCTTTGCACAATGGCGACTGGCGCTTCGTCCTCGTTCAGCGACAACGGCAACGCTTACTACCCCCGCAAGGCGCTTGTCGGGGCTTTCTAAATCTACATGAGTCCGAAGTCCCTCTTGAGTGTTGGGTTGGGAGTGTCTCTTACTCCATTTGATTTGCTTCGGCTTGGTTGCCTGAATGTTCTGCTCCAGGTTCTTGAACTGGAAACCTGAAATAAAATTATTTTCAACGATTTCCTTCTCCAAATGGCCGAAACGGAAACCGAGTTTCGTCAGACGGCTACATTTACAGAGCATTCTTTCGCCACATTCGCGAAGAGTATAACCAGCTCGCAGCACCGAACTGAAACATTTAGGGAAAATATGTAATTCGTAACTAACATGGGACTCGATAACATTTTTGCTTAAAAAAATAAAGGGTACGGTCACTGCAAAGGGTTTTCTCACGCGACTGATAAAACGTTTCACGTAATCAGTCACTATCAAGTCGTAAAACAAAAAACGTGAATGGTCATAGATGAAACTCCCGCCAAAATAAAATGAAACCCAAAAGGAACCTGGAAGCATTTTCGGATGAATCAACCCTCAACACGTAACTCGCCAGGTGTTTAGGGTTTATCTGTTCCCAAACCGCATCCGATTCCGATTGGGTTTTTAGTTTTTTAGAAGTTAGCAGATTGGTTGAGTGCAAGCGGGAATTTTGTTGAGTCTCCAGTTTTATTTGCGGGATTTACATGTGTGACCATTCGCGTGATTTTTTACCTGTTGTTAGTGACTGAATCCGTGACCCCACTACCAAACCCGTCAGAAAACCCGATACAGTGACCGGATGTAAGTTTTGTTTGTTGGGCTGAGTGCCCCTTAGGATCTTTGGTAGGGTTAAACTCTGGGTAGAGTGATGTAGTAGCGGAAGCGTTTAAATGAAGTCCTTGAACCACCTTGCGCTGGTATGTGAGGGCAAAGTAAGTTGATTAAAACTATCAGAATCCTAGCGTGAGTTTGGCTTAGGAGCCATAGTTTAGGAGCCTTGGTAGTTGAGTTCGAGTTTAGGAAAAGTATCGAGAGGTTTGGAAGGAGAGGAATAGGGTTTTACTAGCAAGAGTTGGGATACAAGTACAACACCCTAAATTGGGTTGTACTCATTACAGAGTACCCCACTGCAGGCTAGACAGCAAATACATTCTGACACACCCCCATAGCCAAAGTGGGGTGTAATCAGCACAATGAGCAAGCATAGAGCAAGAGTTCACAATAGGTAAGTAAGGCTAGAGCTAATCACAGAGAGCAAGTGAGGAGGAGGAGAGACTGTGGGGGAGAGAAGATGGGAGGCGACTGCTAACGCTGCAGACACACAGACGAGCTGCTGGCTCAGTGGCTACCGGAACAGCGCTCCGGACTACTGGGGTAACTGGCCCCGCGGCTAAAAGTAGCGGCAGACGAGCAACGGACCCACGGGCGACTGGCGACTACCGGAGATTGTAGCCTCCGGACTGCTGCTGCTGCTGACGACAAGACTGCTGCCTCCACTCGACCTCCCCAGCTGCCTAACGCCCTTCTCACACACCCCCTGCTCAAACCCTAGCCCTACACCCACAGCACCCCCTTAAACCCTAAACCCCAGACTCCCACACATCCACCCCCCTCAGCGAGAGCTGCAGCAGTGGGAGACGAAGGAGGAGTAGGAGGAGGGAACGGCACGCACAACCGACACCCCCACAACCATCACCCCCACACCCACCCCCCCACGGCTGCACCGGGTCCAGGAGCGGCTGCTGCAGGGGCCAGGGGCGGCTGCTGCTGGGGCGGCTGCTCCAGGGGCTGCTGCTGCTGGGGCGGCTGCTCCAGGGGCTGCTGCTGCTGAGGCGGCTGCTCCAGGGGCTGCTGCTGCTGGGGCGGCTGCTCCAGGGGCTGCTGCTGCTGGGGCGGCTGCTCCAGGTGCTGCTGCTGCTGGGGCGGCTGCTCTAGGGGCTGCTGCTGCTGGGGCTGATGCTGCTGGGGCGGCTGCTCCAGGTGCTGCTGCTGCTGGGGCGGCTGCTCCAGGGGCTGCTGCTGCTGGGGCTGCTGCTGCTGGGGCGGCTGCTGCTGGGGCGGCTGCTCCAGGGGCTGCTGCTGCTGGGGCGGCTGCTCCAGGGGCTGCTGCTGCTGGGGCGGCTGCTCCAGAGGCTGCTGCTGCTGGGGCGGCTACTCCAGGGGCTGCTACTGCTGGGGCGGCTGCTTCAGGGGCTGCTGCTGCTGGGGCGGCCGCTGCAGTGGCGGCGGCTCCAGGGGTTGCTGCTGCTGGGGCGGCTGCTCCAGGGGCTGCTGCTGCTGGGGCGGCTGCTCCAGGGGCGGCTGCTGTTGCAAGGCAGGCCGCTCCAGGGGCGGCTGCTTCAGGGGCGGCGGCTCCAGGGGCGGCTGCTGCAGCGGAAAGTAGGAGGGAGGGGAGGGGAAGGGCGCGGCCCCCATTGTGCCCTGACGGGCGATGTGCTAGGGAGCCGCGCAGGTCCCCAAAAGTGCCTCGACTGGCAACGAGAGGGGACCGCGCGCAGGCCCCTAAGGCGCCGCGACGAGGCAACGGGAGGGGCCGGCTCGCGGGCCCCGAAAGTGCCGCGACGAGGCGACGGGAGGGACCTGCGTGCAGGCCCCCAAAACGCCTCGACGAGGCGACGGTCGGGGCCAGTGCGCGGGCCCCTAAGACGCCGCGACGAGGTAGGAACCCGCCGCGCGCCTCGGGGCGCACGGCGGGCAGAAAACCGCCACGCGCTCCGAGCGCGTGGCGGGAAGAAAAATGGGATGTCGCGCGCCACGGGGCGCGCGACACACAGTAGGGCAGCGGAATCGAGTGGGCCCACAGGCCAGGAACGTTAAGCTCTGATAACATATCAGAATCCTAGCGTGAGTTTGGCTTAGGAGCCATAGTTTAGGAGCCTTGGTAGTTGAGTTCGAGTTTAGGAAAAGTATCGAGAGGTTTGGAAGGAGAGGAATAGGGTTTTACTAGCAAGAGTTGGGATACAAGTACAACACCCTAAATTGGGTTGTACTGATTACAGAGTACCCCACTGCAGGCTAGACAGCAAATACATTCTGACAAAAACAAGCAAGTACAAAGGTTTATATAAGAGTACAAAGAATACGAAGAGATATAATTAAACTGTTTTACTGTTGCGGTTCGATACAGTGCGACTCGGGCAACTGCTCAATGTCGAGTCAGTTGTGTGTCCTTGCTGTCGCGCTGCATTTGTCAAGTCAAAGGTCGCTGACCTTTGACTTTCGCGTAACCTCCAGCGGTTACTTCAACCTCTGAGGGTTGACTCGCTGGTGCCTCGATATGCTCTGCTTCGCTTGTGCCTTGGTGTTTCGACACGACAGAGGCGCTTAAGATTGTTTGTTCCCAACACTCCCCTTCGCTTCTGGAGTGTCGCTGCTGGTGACGTGGCTTTGTCCAGTCAGCAGCATGCAGTACTCGAACTTCTGTTTTCCGAGCTTCTTGGTCAAGTAGTCAGCTGCCATCTCGGACGTGGGACAGTAGGATAGTTCAAGTCTCCCCTTCTCAATCTCGTCTTTCACGAAGAAATATCGCAGAGCGATATGCTTCGTTCTGTTCGCGAATCCATTTTTGTTGGCGATGCGAATTGCAGATTGGTTGTCGCAGAACAGAGTGAAGTTGGGTAACTCGGCTAACTTCGCTTCTTCCAGCAGCTCGCGAAGATAGAGTCCTGTGGAGAGGAGAACGCGAATGAATGGACTATGAATGAAGTGAGTACATATAGGAAACCTTAATTGGGTTGTACCCCCTATGGGATACCCCACTATAGCCTACACAACAGCATAAGCTATATAATGTTCTGACACACCCCCATAGGCAAAGTGGGGGAGAACAAGGGGTCACAAGACCAGTCACGCAAAGCACAGCAAGCTCAGGGTGGATCACAAAGTCACCACACAGTCCGAGCACAACGACAAGGCCACAAGGCCAGTTCACATGCAGGAGGACACATATATATATAGAGCTAGACAAGCAAGAGCAGGTATATATATGTGACAGTACAAGCAAGGTCAAGAGGAGAGCAAGTGAGGCAAGACAGGTACAAGACCCAACTGAGTGCAGAAGCGCTGATGGTCACAAGGCGCAAGTGCCTTGGTGAACACATCAGCAGTGTTGGCCTCAGAGGCCACGTACGCAAGTCGCAACTGACCACGCTGCTGCAACTCACGAGCAAGAAAGTAACGGAGAGCAATGTGCTTCGTTCTGTGCTCCAAGCGCTGCTCTCGACACAAGGCCAGCATGGCCTTGTTGTCTACGTACAGCACTGGAGGAGAACGAGGCTGCTCTCCAAGGTCAGTCAGACAGAGCCGGAACCAAGACTGAAGGTGTAACCCTGCGACGACCGCTGCGTAGCCTGGTCGTCAGCCCAAGAAGCGTCCGCGTGCCCAGTGAGGACCACTGGACTCCGCCCTCCAAGCACTAGCCCCATGCCCGACGTACTGCACAAGTAGCGCAACACCCTCTTCGCTGCAGCCATGTGCTCTGGTCGGTGTCTCCCAGGAGCAACATAGCGTGCAAGAATGCTAAGAGGGTATGCAAGGTCAGGTCGTGTGCAGGTCATCAGGTACATGAGGCAGCCAACAAGCTCTGGGTACGGGCCACTCGACTCTACGGACTCATCCGAAGGCAGAGCTGAGAGCGAGTGGCGAGTAGACAGAGGAGTGGCCTGAGGCGAGGAGTACGTGAAGCCGAAGCGCTGAAGGACCTGCTGCACCATGTGTGACTGAGTCAAGGTAATGGTGCGGCGTGCTCTGTCCCGAGTGATCTGCAAGCCAAGGTAGCTGCGCAGTTCACCCAGGTCTGTGCACGTGTGTCTCTTCTGCAGCTCGGACTTCACGTAGGCTAGTCCAGCAGTGTCAGCTGTGGCAAAGACCAAGTCGTCGACGTACACGAGGATGTA